TTGGCTTATTTCACTTAATATAATGTCCTCTGGCTTCATTCATATTGTTGGAAATGACAGAATTTCTTTCTTTTTTACGGCTGAATGGTATTCCAGTGTGTATATCACATTTTCTTTATCTATTCATCCAAGCATTGAATGTGATTCCACATCTTGGTTATTGCAAATAATTCTGCAGGGAGCAAGGGAGTGCAGCTATCTCGTCAATGTACTGATTTCCTTTCTTTGGGATATATATCCAGTAGTGGGATTGATGGATAATATGGTAGTTTTAGTTTTGCTTTTTTGAGGAACCTTCATACTGTTTTCCATAATGGCTGTGCTAATTTAATTCCCACAATAGCATACAAGCGTTTCCTTTTCCCCACATCCTCACCAGCACTTGTTTTCATCTGTCTTTTTGATCATAGCCATTCTGACAAATGTGAAGTGATAACTTACTGTCAGTTTAATTTGCATTTCCTTGATGAGTCGTGCCTTTGAGCATTTTTTCCTGTATCTGTCATTTGTAGGTTTTCTTTTGAGAAATATCTATCCAAGTCTTTTGTGGGTTTTCTAGTTGGGTTACTTGTTTTCTCATTCAACAGGTATTTGTTAAGTAGTTGCTGTAGACACAACACTATGCTAAGCTCTAGGAATTCACGCATACCATCTCTGACTCCTTGGAAATGACAGCATATAAAAAAAGACTAGTTCCTAATCATCATGCAATTTGCAGAAATGCAGAGGGTGTTAAGGACGACATGAGGAGGCTGTTTAGTATGGCCCGGTTGAGGAGAGGTTCAGGGAAGAGCTCCTGGAGAAGGAAGCTGCTGAGATGCATTTTAGATAATGGTTATGAGGTAACGAGTCAAAGCCAGGAGACGTCAGGGGGAGCAGTGGAGGCACTGGGATGGCACAGCCAGGTGCAGTGGGATGCTGTCAGAGTGGTGGTGTTGGAGTAACATCAAGCGTGAGACCAGAAATGAGTCTGCAGAGCACCTGGACCAAGGGGACGGGGCGATTTATTAAAAGTTACAGAACTCAGATGTCAGTGATGTTGATGTCGTAAAGGAACATAAGCCAGGAGAAACGGGGCATTTTAGGAAGTCACCCACTGACGATGTGAAGAACAGAGCTGGTGGATACAAATACAAGAAAACCAGTTAGGAGGCAGTTTCTATGTGCTGGCAAGAGATGGAGAAGTGAACTAGAGTGGTTGTAAAGGGATGGAAAGAGTGGGATTGGTATGAAATTGATTTGGGACATGAACTTGGCGAGTTATGGTGGAAAGTTGGATCTCAGGAGTAAAGGAGAGAGAAGAGACAAAGAAGCCTCCCAGGTGGTGATAAGGCCATGGGCACAAGACAGACCAGGAAGGCCAGGCCAGGCTGGGGAAGGCAATGAGAGTGCTTCAGACCTACTGAGTTTGAGGTGTGCCCAATTCATTCAGTAGATGTCCAACAGGTGATTAAAAGTCGGTGTGTCTGGGGAGAGGGCCTAAACTAAGGGCCCTCTATAGTCACAAACTGGAGGGCAGTGATAAGTCACAATCAGAGATAAAACCACAAGCTTGGATGTGTGGTGTGAGATGGACAATCAGCCAGGCCAGCTTGCTGGGAGACACTGACATAGAAGGAGCCAAAAGAGAAAGGGTTGCTCATGAAAGAGACTGAGAAGGACAACGAGAGCATCACACTTGGCTCCCTCAAGGCAGACCTCCCTAACCTCCTACTCACCCCGTTCAGGTACTGCTATCCCCTGTAATAAGTTCTCTGCATTTGCCCTTCTTCGAAGTTAGCATAGTCATAAATTAACATCTGATGTTATCATTTAAACTCTGCCTCTCCTGCTAGAATATAAATTCCATAAGGGCAGAGGTTGTCTCTCTCTTCTTCCTCAGGGAATCCCTCCAGGCCTAGCAAGTGCCTTGAAAATAGTAGTTGCTCAAACCGTATTTGTGGAATTAAAGAATGATGCACTGAATTCCCAGAGAGTAGAGACTTTCACAGAATGTCGCTTTTAGTAGCCAAGTTATCTATGTAATGTTCAAATGATAGTATGAATGATACGCTGACTTTAACATTTTTGTTCTTTCCTTTTTTTCTCTTATTTTAACATTTTCAATATTTCCTGTGTAAAAAAGTCACATTTCTGTTAGATTTTTTTTTAAGTCAGTGAACAAGCTTGGTGCCCATAGCACAGTGGTTATGGCACTGGCCACCTACACCAAGGCTGGTGGGTTTGAACTCTGCCCAGGCCAGCTAAATGACAATGACAACTGCAACAAAAAAATAGCCAGGTGTTGTAGCAGGCGCCTGTAATCCCAGCTACTTGGCAGGCTGAGGCAAGAGAATTGCTTAAGCCCAGGAGTTTGAGGTTGCTATGAGCTGTGACGCTGTAGCACTCTACCAAGGGGGACAAAGTGAGACTCTGTCATAAATAAATAAATAAAGTTACTGAAAAATTCTCTCCTACTTCTTCTAGATAGGATGTGAGGCCTCCAACTATTTGGAGAGATGAGAAAGGAAGACAGAAGACTTAGTATATTAGATATGGATTAGTTTGTAATATAGTGTAGCTAAGTGGTAATACTCACTGTTCTCCAAAGCTCCACTTGGTTTTGGGGTGGGCACAGATGGACAATCTTCATTGCAACATAGATGATTATTCAACCTGGGAAACAAATTATGATCTGAATATGGTCACAATGCAGAATTGCCTTTTGGCAACACTTTTCTGCAAAGTTTTATATAAAAAAATAGAGATGGAATTTTAAAATGATATTGCTTAAATCCTCATATGAATATATTGTACATTATTATTTATAAAATGCCAACAATTAATGGGATTCTAATATCAAACGTTGAATCTCTTACAAATTGTTCAAACTGCATCAGTATTAGTTATTAGGCCTCATCTGTGGATATCAAGGCTAATACAGAGGAAAACATTTTGGTGGTGAGAGGCCAGTCTCCAAGTTTGGGCCCACGTTTTTCAGAGAGTTGGGTCTTTGTCTTCCCTCCTTTCCCACGTTTGCCTCAATTCTTACCCATCTGCAGACTCAGTCTTGAGATGTTTGTATAAGGGGATAAAAACTCCAAAATCTATAGTAGTGTCTGAAGTGAAAATATCCCAAGAGATATAGCACAAGTACTCCTATGTGCACCAAGTTTCAAAGCATATCTGATCCTTTCCTGAGAGAATTTCTGATGGGAGGAAAGAGTAATAAGAGGGACTCATTACGGCGTGGAGAAATGCCAGTGTGAGAGTCTGAGGGTGTGCAGAGCGGGCATTGCACTGGGTAGGAGTGTAGATGGCAGTGCTGCCTCTTACCAAGTGTTGAACACATCTTTTTAACAGCCTCAGCCTGGATTTCCTCTTCTGAAAATAAGAATCGTGTTAGTACTTACCTCAAAGTGGTGTTTACAGTGTTAATCAGCCAATATGTATAGAGCAATTGGAACAATGCCTGGCAAATTGTAAATACTTTAAAAGTATTAGCTTTTATTGTTATTTGCAATTTTAGCCCAGGCTGTGGAGTTTTGTACAGTTTTAAGTCACCCATTTTCTGGATCACTCCCTCTTTGGAGTGGTTTGCTATGGTCTGAATGTTTGTATTCCCCCCAAATACATATGTTTAAATACTAACCCCCAAGATGACACTAACAGAAGGGTGAGACCTCTTAGAGGTGATTACGTCACACGGGCAGAGCCCTCGTGAATGGAATTAGCGTCATATTGGAGGCCCGAGGGAGCCTGTTTGCCCCTTCTTCCATAAGGCAGGAAACATTCTGCCAGCACCTTGATCTTGGACTTTGAGGCTCCAGAATTGAGAAATAAGTTTCTGTTGTCTATGAGCTACCCAGTTTATGATATTTTGTTACAACAGCCCCAGAGGACTGAGGCACGGTCACAGCGCAGACCTTCAACTGCTAGTGTAGGAGGAAGGTTTGTTCTTTTGCTTGTTTTGTCCTCTGTGTCTAGCTTGTTGTTCTTGTACGCTCCCAGTGCTTGTAAGCCCTGATCTGATCTCACCAAACAGCACCAAATACAGACTAACAGAACTGTGTCAGGAACAATTCTTGTCGGGGTCTGCTCACCCCTTGGAGTCAGTTGCCATGGGAGACAAGCTAGCGATGTCACAAGGCACCATCACACTCCTGCCTCCTCCTCAGGTCCCTTCTGTCTGGGGCAGAGCCTGGGGCAGAGCCCAGTCCTGCACCCTCCCCAGCTCAATCATGTCTCTACCTCTCCAAGGAAGAGCAGGGGGCTTTACCCTCCCCCAGCAATGTCTAAACTCAGGTATGTTGAGGTGCTGACCATGGATCTCTTTCTTATGCTTCTTTTTCCTTCCCAGGCTGTAGAAATACCTGTGCAAATGGAGAGTTTCTGAGGGCCCTGGGTAAATCCTTGGTTCTCTATGGAACCAAATCCTTGGGGCTGCTCCCTGGAGGAACAAAGGTCATTTCAGACTTGAGGAACAAGATTACAACACTGTGTCCTTTTTACTTACCTCCCTTTATGCCCTAAACACACCCACAATCTACCCCTCCTGGTTTATCAACCTGTTCTTCATTTTATCAAGAGATGTTATTGCAACTTCCTTGTTATGCCCAAGTGAAAAGAAAAGAGAATACAGCCAACCAGGATTTCATTAAATTCTGCCAGGATTTCAGACATCATTTAATCATGCCCCTGTCTGATTAAATAGTGCAAAATGCAGCTCTTGCCCTTCCACCTGCCTTGCTCAAAGCCTAAATGTTGAAACTTATGCAAATCTGCGTATTATAGATCTTTATCTAAATGCAGGTATTTGAAAACCGGCAATAAACCTGCCTCCCAAGTTTATCAGAAAAGGAGCTTAAGAGAGAACGAAATTCAGCCTGTGTCAGAACTCTCAGTCCTGGGAGGTGCATTTTACAGCTCTTGACCTGCTGTGGGACTTCGGCTGGGACCCACGGAAGGACATCAGAGGGAAACCACTCGAGACACTGACATTGTCCTGGAGAGCACTAGCCATGCCGAAGACGTTTACATGCATGTACCACATCCTCGTGTTGAACTGGTTTATTTTCCTCAATCTTTACATCTCACAGTTTGGAAAGAGTAAAGATGGATCCAAAATCTTTGCCAATGGGGGACAGTGGAAGTATTTGACAATCCTTAATATGGTAAGTCCATATGGCCATCCCAGGTACCCACCCATTTTTTTATAATGTCAGTGTTGCGATACATACTGCCTTTGGATTTTGTTAAATACAAAATTCCATTATTTGTCTTCCTTCTTCATCACTTGTGAGTTTTGACTTTCTCTTCGTAATTTGCTCTGACAAACCCAATTTGGAAGTTATCTATACTTACGTTTTTGTGATGGCTCATTGTTAAATGCTCTTTTGAAAATAATCTCATCTTGGAACGCTTCTCTGAGGAGCCCAAATGAGGAAGCAAGCTAATGGTTTCACCATGGGATTGACTACCAGTGCAGGAGGGATTTTGAACTTTGCTTGGGGAAGTCTGTGAAGAGAAGGCAGCGTGGCGTATGTTGTGTAGGAAGTGTAATTTCCAATGAAGGAATAATGCCATTTTACTGCACACACAGACTAACAGATTTATCTAAGAAAAGCAAACACATTTTGCCATGTTCAGCCCCCACTTCAATTTTTTATAGGCTCTGTCTCCATCTTAAAGGACAAATCACCCAACTGAATGGCAAATACACATTTTCATCTATTTAAAAACCAAACTTATGACTTCATCCCTTTTTGTCTTCCTAACCTGGCTGACTACATTCTGCAATATGAATGGGAGAAGAATGGATTTTTTAAAAATGGGGGAAATATATAAAAACTATTTTTGAAGTTAAAAGCTAAAAATGGACAATCCTCTGGGGATGTGAATTAATGTTTAAGGTTTTTGACTAACATATCAGGTGCCGTATAAACATCTGCCTTCAGAAAGGACAAAATAGCCTAATCTCTTAGAACTGTAAATCCTCCTTTGACAAGCAGAGAATACTCATGGTCAGAAAAAGTGACACTGAAATACCAACCCGTGGAGGAGATACTGAGAGCTCAGATCAAAGAAGCCTGGAGGCTCTGCCTCCTCCTCACGGGCCACTGGCTGGCTTCTCGCTTTTGGCCTACAAAGTCTGAGCCCTGCACACAGCTCTAGGGAATTTCAAAGTGATTTGTTGCTTCAATCATAGAATTTTATGAGCAAAAAAGGTAACAAACAGAACGTAAAAGGCTTTTGTAGAACTAAGGATACCATAGTAAAAAAACAATAATTAAAAAAAAGAATTAAACTGAGAGGTTTAGGCCTAGAAGTAGGGTGAGGGTCTGCAAGAAAGGAAAGGAGGCCAGTCCAGGGACAAAGACAGACTTTAATAGAGAAAGGAAAAGGAGAATGGAGACTGACCAGGTGTCAACTGAGCTCCTAATGTTGCAAAAGGCTTTTATTAGCCTTACAGTATTGCTGGAATGGGGCAGTGAGTTCAGAGTACTGTAGCTGGGGGCTGTGGGGATTGTGGGTGTGTCCTTAGGATGTGGGCAAGGTGTTTCCAGGAACTCTGGCCTCAGACACTCCAGGAGTCTGGGGAGTGGATTGCTGAAGGAGTTTCTGACCTGATTTTCAAAATGGCTGCACTCCTAGCAAGGTTATGAGAATGCCTGTCCCACACAAACAAACGAAAAAACACCACCTCCACTACCACTACCTTTGGTTTGTATCTGTTGGCTTTATATTAAAAACAGTTAATGGGCCAGTGCAGTGGCTCATGCCTATAATCCTAGCACTCTGGGAGGCTGAGGCTGGTGGATTGCCTGAGCTCACAGGTTCGAGACCAGCCTGAGCCAGAGCCAGACCTCAACTCTAAAAATAGCCAAGCGTTGTGGTGGGTGCCTGTAGTCCCAGCTACTTGGGAGGCTGGGGGAAGAAAATTGCTTGAACCCAAGAGTTTGAGGTTGCTGTTAGCTGTGATGCCATGGCATTGTATTGGGGACAACAAAGTAAGACTCTCTCAAAACAACAACAACAACAACAAAAAAACAACAGTTAACTAAAAGAGAGGGGTGTCTATAGATAGGATTGATGCTCTAATCTAATCCAATTCCAGGATGGATGTGAAGTGTGCTAAAAATGAGATTTATCACTGCTTCCATACACCAGCTCCTTGACATCCTATATACATACTGTGTATATTAATATACAAATGCAGTAGAACCTCCAGAGTTGACCACTTCCCTACATCGACCATCTCCTTACATTGACCTAATCTCATAGACCGGACATGCACCACACTTACACATCAGTACAGCAGGCCTACTTCCTTATGTTGACAAAAGGAACATATTCCTTTTTTTTTTCCCCACAGTCTCTTTGGTGGTACAGAAGCTTACAGAGATTCTACTACATATATATAAAGTTAATCTTGACTTTTTAATCCTGGTTCACTTATATTCCCAAGTGCCCTCATTTTTCAAGAGTAGGGAGACTCTTTATGAATGATACTATCATTTCCTAGTGTAATCCCATTTTTGCTTCCCTGAATGACTGGCCACCAAACTTTATTAGTCTTTTGATAGCTTCTTCCCTTCCTCTCCAATCTTACTGTCCCACTCATTCCAGTCTTTTATTAATTGTACATGGATGGTCACATCATTTCTTTACTGTCCTCACTGCTTAATCCACTACTCAGATTCCAGATTCATCTTCTCAAAACACTGGTTTTGGTTTTTTCTGAGTCTCACCACTATTGGTCCCTGGGCCTCCTGCTCTTGCTTCTCTGCTCATATTCTCATCGTCTTTGAAGAAATACCTACTTACCTCTCTCCACCATGCTGTTTCTTTCATAGACCATTGGAAATCTCCTATTACCCCTAAAATCTTTGCTAACTCTAGGCCCAATTTGTTTTTCCTTTCTGTGACATTTACAACATCTCTCGGTGTCTGATACATAAAATGTATAGCATTGTTTTCTAATTTCCTCCTTCCCCTATATGTGAGTCTTAACATTCCCATCAAACCCTAACTGGCTCAAAACAGGAGTTTTGTCTCCTAGGTCTTGCCAACTCCAGCGGTCTACATATGAACTATATTGTATTCTCCACAGTGGTAGGGACAGGGTACCCTCATCATTAACACTCTGCAACTTAGAATGTTGACTTGACTTGCTGCTAGATTTTTCTGCATTTCTGAGCAATTTATCTCTTTTTGCATCTTCTTTTTTTTTTTATTGTTTCAGGTTAATTTGAGGGTACAAGGACTTATGTTACAATGTTTGCATTTGTTAGGTAGAGTCAGTCTTATAATCATATCCTGCTCCCAGGAGATGTGCCATACACCCTAACATTGTGCCCATTAAGTGGAAGCACACCCATTCCCCCACCTCTTCCCCTCTCCTTGCTCCTTCATTCCCCTGCCCACTACCTTGAATTGATTTGAGTTTATCTCTTATCATCTACTGGCTTCGTATTAGTATTAAGTACATTGTATTCTTGTTCCACAATTCTTATGAAGAAGTATGTGTTTCAACTTTGTCCAGGTTAATACGAAAGATGTAAAGTCTCCATCTTTTTACTGGCTGAATAGTATTCCACAATATATGTATACCACCACTTGTTAATCCATTCCTGAGTTGGTGGGCATTTAGGTTGTTTCCACATTTTGGCAATTGTAAATTGAGCTGCATTAAACAATCTTGTGCAAATGTCTTTATGATACAATGAATTTTTTTCTTCTAGGTAGATGCCTAGCAGTGGGATTGCAGGATCAAATGGGAGGTCTAATTTTAGTTCTTTGAGGATTCTCCATACTTCCAACATCTTCTGGCCTTTATAGATATGATGAGAGGGGCTTATCTGTGGAATTTCCTTCTTGCTCTCTGGCAAGTGTCATGTTGAAAGTATGACTAAATGAAATGTTTCCCAACTGGCAAAGATAGGTTGAGTATATTTCAGAGGATCAATTTGAGGATAGATTTCAAATATTTTGCTTAAGGCTAAGCTTTAAAATTTCTAGCTCTTGAGGTCTTGTGGGCTAATTAATGGTTGTGTTTCCTAATGATTAACGAGTGCCAAGTAATGATTAATTAGTTGATGTTTGCATCACAGAAGTCTTACTACTTGCTCTAACACTCTTACATATATTTTATCTCTGCTTGGTGAAGGTAGTATCCAACCCTGATCACCAGGAAATTTATACCCACCCCTCATAAACAGTTTACATTTCTAATTAACTGAGTATCAGTTACGTTCCTTTCATACAAGCAAAGCCCATTTTCGTGCAAGTAGGCATCTGGGTGTCCCCCATTCACCCCTGAAGCTATCCTAGGAGATTCCAAGGTTAGATGGAGGGCAGGCAGGAGCTACACAGCAGCTCTTCTGAGATTGGCATCACTGATTGGGGTGCCTTTGAGAACTGGTCAGGGTGACCAATTTCTGATTAAGAAGAATAAAAATAGGAGAGAGGCCATAGAAGTCTCTACCTGATGACGGTGTTAACTGATCCTGGGATGAGGAGCCTGACCCTTTGCTAGGGAGACACTGTAGCACATGGGTTACCATAGTGAGCTGGGGCTCGACTCTCTGGAATGGTACCTCCATCTTGCTGTTTACTGGTTCTGCGAACCCTCACTAGGCACTGTGTCTTCCATTACCATGTCTGTTAAATAGAAATGAAAATACAGTAGAACATCTGCAAATTGACCACCCAAGGAACTATTACAAGCTGGTCAACATATGGAGGTGGTTAACATAAGGGAGTAGGTTGGTACTGTACATGTGGCACACTTCCAGTCTATGAAAATTAGGTCAACTTAAAGAGGTGGTCCATATAGGAAGGTGGTCAGCTATGGAGGTTCTACTGTAATACCTAACCACAGGTGGTAGAGAGATACATGACCTGGCAGGTGGGAAGCTCTGAGAATGGTACTAACATGATATAAGTGGTGGATGATGGAGAGAGAAGACTGGAGTGTGGTGGTGAATTTTAATCATCTTAATCTCCAAGTGGAGATGGAATTGGGGGAAGGTGGCTTGGTGGGATATAGGTCTAGTCAGTGAGCACTGAGGTTGGTAGGGGGTGGATGCCAGCAAGGGCAAGTCACCCTCCTCATGGCTCTGGCCTCTCCTGCAGACCTGCATGCTTCATCTCCTCCGCAGGAGGAGGACTT